CCCACAAAAGATAAATAAAACAAAAAGCTGGTTCTTTGAAAAGATAAATAAAATTGATGGACCATTAGTGAGATTAACCAAGAAAAGAAGAGAGAAGATCCAAATAAGCTCAATAAGAAACAAAATGGGAGATATTACAGCTGATACCACAGAAACACAAAAGATCATTCAAGGATGCTATGAGCACCTTTATGCGGATAAACTAGAAAATCTAGAGGAGATGGATAAATTCCTGGAATTATACAACCCTCCTAGGTTAAACCAGGAAAAAATATAAACTGTGAACAGACCTATAACAAGCAGCAAGATTAAAGTGGTAATTAAAAAGTTACCAAGAAAAAAAAAGTCCAGGACCAGACAGATTCACAGGTGAATTCTATCAGACAGTCAAAGAAAAATTGGTATCAAACTTGTTGACACTATTCCACAGGAGAGAGAAAGAGGAAATCCTCCCTAAATCATTTTTTGAAGCCAGTATCACCCTAATACCAAAACCAGGGAAGAACATAACGAAAAAAGAAAACTACAGACCAATGTCCCTGATGAACATAGATGCAAAACTGCTCAAGAAAATACTAACTAACTGAATCCAGCAGCATATCAAAAAGATAATCCACCATGATCAAGTGGGTTTCATACCAAGAATGCAGGGATGATTTAACATCCACAAGTCAATGAATGTGATGCACCACATAAAGAAAATTTAAAACAAAATCACATGATCATCTCAACAGCCGCAGAAAAAGCATTTAACAAAATCCAGCATCCCTTTATTATTAAAACCCACAGCAAAATTGGCATAGAAGGGACATGCCTTAAGGTAATAAAAGCCATCTATGACAAATCCACAGCTAACATTATACTGAATGGGGAAAAGTTGAAAGCATTTCCCCTGAGAACTGGAACAAGACAAGGATGCCCACATTCACCACTTCTATCCAACATAATATTGGAAGTTCTAGCCAGAAAAATCAGACAAGAGAAGGAAATAAAGGGCATCCAAATCAGTAAAGAGGAAGTCAACCAGTCACTGTTCACCGATGATATGATAGTATACCAAGAAAACTCTAAAGGCTCATCCAAAAAGCTCCTAGAACTGGTTAATGAATTCAGCAAAGTTTCAGGAAACAAAATTAATGTATACAAATCGGTAGTTCTGCTATACACCAACAGTGACCAAGCTAAGAATCAAGTCAAGAATGTAACTCCTTTTATAATAGCTGCAAAATACAATAAAATACTTAGAAATATGCCTAAACAAAGAGGTGAAAGATCTCTGTAAGGAAAACTACAAAACCCTGCTGAAAGAAATTATAAATGATACAAACAAATGGAAATATGTCCCAAGCTCATGGATGGGTAGAATCAATATTGTAAAAATGACCATACTGCCAAAATAAATCTACAAATTCAATGCAATTTCCATGAAAATACCACTATCATTCTTCACAGAATTAGAAAAAATAATCCTAAAATTCATATGGAACCAAAAAAGAATCTGCATAGCCAAAGCAAGATGAAACAAAAAGAACAAACCTGGAGGCATCACACTACCCAACTTCAAACTATAGTGTAAGGCCACAGTCACCAAAACAGCATGGTACTAGTATAAAAATGGGGATATAGACCAATGAAACACAATAGAGAACTTAGAAATAAAGCCAAATACTTACAGCCAACTGATCTTTGACAAAGTGAACAAAAACAACAAGTGGGAAAAGGTCACCCTAGTCAACAAATGGTGCTGGGATAATTGGCAAGCCACATGTAGAGAATAAAACTGAATCCTCTTCTCTCACCTTATACAAAAACCAACTCAAGATGGATCAAAGGCTTAAATCTAAGACTTGAAACCATAAAAATCCTAGAAGATAACATTGGAAAAACTCTTCTAGACATTGGCTTAGCCAAAGGCTTCATAACAAGAACCCAAAAGCAAACACACACACACACACACAAAGATAAATACATGGTACTTAATTACTTAATTAAACTGAAAAGCTTCTGCACAGCAAAAGAAATAACCAGAAGAATAAACAGAACATCCACAGAGTGGGAGAAAATCTTTGCAATCTATACTTCTGTTGAAGGACTAATACCCAGAATCTACAAGGAACTCAAATCAGCAAGAAAAAAACAAACAATGCCATCAAAAATTGGGCTAAGAACATGAATAGACAATTCTTGAAAGAAGATATAAAGATGACCAAGAAACATATGAAAAAGTGCTCAACATCAGTAATGATCAGGGAAATGCAAATCAAAAACACAATGCGATATCACCTTACTCCTGCAAGAATGGCCATAATCAAAAAATCAAAAATTAACAGATGTGCACAAGGATGTGGTGAAAAGGGAACACTCTTACACTGTTGGTGGCAATGTAAACTGGTAAAACCACTATGGAAAACAGTATGGATATTCCTTCAAGAACTAAAAGTAGATCTACCCTTTGATCCAGCAATTCCACTCCTGAGTATCTACCCAGAGGAAAAGAAGTCATTACATGAAAAAGATACTTGCACGTGCATGTCTAAAGCAGCACAATTTGTAACTGCAAAAATATGGAACAAGCCCAAATGCCCATCAATCTATGAGTGGATAAAGAAAATGTGGCATGTATATAACATGGAATACCATACAGACATAAAAAACGAAATAATGGCATTTGCAGCAACCTGAATGAAATTGGAGACTGTTATTCGAAGTAAAGTAACTCAGAAATTGAAAACTAAACATCATATGCTCTCACTCATAAGTGGGAGCTAAGCTATGAGGATGCAAAGGCATAAGAATGACACAATGCACTTTGGGGGTTCAGGGCAAAGAGTGGGAGGGGAATAAAGGAATAAAAACACTGGTAATCCAGCCAGATATACAGCATTTTTGTGTTTTTCAGAATGTATTACAAATTTTTTTTTTTTTAAAAAAGAGCTACATTTTTAGTGTGTGCAGATGTGAATTTTGGCTTACAGAACTGTTTTTAATATTCATCTATGGTATTTTCTTGGCAAAGAAAATCAACATTTGTTCCCACTGCATGACTTTAATAGACAGATCAGTAGACATCCTAGGAATACTCTAAGGAAGCAACCCCAGGTTATGGAAAATATCTCATCAAACATTGGCATCTTTGAATTTTATTTGTGACAATTGTTTATGTTATTGTACATTTCATATTAGTACTTAATAGGAATTCTAACAGATTTTTAAATGAGCTTCTAAAGATTTACAAACTGAAGTCTGTATTTCTATAAATTATTGTAATTCTAAAGAAATCCCAGCATTTTTTAAAGAAATTGACAGGTTGAGTTCAAAAGTCATATGGAAACCCAAAGGGCTCAATAGTGTCAAAATAACTCTAAAAAAGAAAAGCAAGGCTGTAGGACTAACATTACCCTATTTCAAGACTTATTAACTTATTAAGACCTATTAAAGCAACATTGTATGGTATTGATACAAAAAAGCAAATACAAAAAAAGCAAAAAAATAAAATTGGGTAGGAAATCCAGAAACACATCCACCCACATGTGAACAATTGATTTTTGACAAAAGGTGAAAAGTCAATTCAGTGGAGAAAAGATAATCTTTTCAACAAATGGTATTGGAACGTTTGGATATCTGTTTGCAAAAAAATGACCCTCAATCCAAAAAAAAACAAAAGCCAAAATCAAAATGTAATATAGAACTACATGTAAAACCTAAAACTCTGAAAGACAATACAGAAAATCATGGTGACTTTGACAAAATATCTTAAAAATTACATCAAAAGCATGATCCACAGAAGAAAACATTGATAAACTGGACTTTAACAAAAATAAAAATGTCTGCTCTTGGAAAAACACTGTAAAGAGAATGGGAAGGTAAGTCATAGACTGAGAGAAAATATTTGCAAATCATTTATCTGATAAAGGACTTATATCCGTAATGTGGAATAAACTCAATTTTAATAATAAAAATAATCTAATAAACAACAAACTTGAACAAATACTTCACCAAAAAAGATATATGATCAGCAAATAAGAATTTGAAAAGATATTCAATGCCATTAGTCATTAGGAAAATGCAAATTAAAACAAGGATGAAATACTACCACACACTAAAGTGGCCAAAATTAAAACGACTGGCCATACCAAATGCTGTCAAGAACGTGGAGCACTTAGAATTCTCACGCTGCTGGTGTAAAACGGTGCCACCACTTTGGACACAAGATTGGCAGTTTCTTAAAATGTTAAGTATCTATCTAGTACATGACCCAGCTGTTCCATAGCTAGGTATTTTCTCATAAGAAATGAAAGAGCATGTCTATACATGGCTTGTACCTAAATGATCATAACACCATTACTGGGAATCGCCAAAGACTGGAACCCAAATATGCATTGACAGGTGAGTGGATGAACGAACTAGTGTATCTGCACAATGAGATAGCCTCAGAAATAAAAAGAATGAATGATTGATGCACTTAATAAAATGGATAAATCCCAAAATAACTATGAACTTTGATCTCCCCCTAAATTAACCAAAAATGTATTATAAAAGACCCCAAAGAATACATACTGTAAAATGCCATTTATGTATTAATATTGAGCCTGGAAATGAATCTACAGTGACAGAAAGCTGATAAATGATTGCCTGAGGGATGGGGGAGGTGGGAGGAAGCGGGAGAGAAAGCAACTAGAAGCAGGAACAGGGTAACTTTTGGGAGTGATGAACCGTCATTATCTTGAGGATTATGATAGCTTCATGGGAATATACACATGCCAAACATATCAAATACTACACTATAAGTATGTTAAGCTTACCAATGTCAATTCTACCCCAGTAGTAGTTCTTAAGGTAAAAAAAAAAAAAAAAAATCTTAAGTTCCTCATCCCTTTGAACAAATGCCTAAGGAAAAATGAATATGAAGATGAGAATACCAGGAGCAATCAGAAATACAAATTTAAATTATTTTCTGATTCCATGTGAATAGCACATAGATCTAAAATAATGGAACTTACCTTTTCTCCCACACACAGAGACTGTAATGCTATTATGTGACTCGACTAGATGGTGGAGTTTTACAGATTGCTGAAAAAGAAGGGAAAATGGAAAAGTGTTATCTATTTGAGCATAGTTTCTAGGTATTATTAAGTAAGGTGCTAGGCTTCTTTAAAGATGGAACACTGTCTTATTGCCAATTGAATGGAATGTACTGCCTACAAACAAAGGACTACGTAGCTCATTATTTAATTGAAAAAGCATCCAATTCCTAGTGATTTTCACCCAGCAGTAAGTATGTTTTCTTCAGCAGAAAGGAATTTCCAGCATGCTCTTTCCACTCAGAAGAGTTTTTGACACTGAACTCCAGCCTGGGCAACACAGCAAGACTCCATCTCAAAAAATATATAAATAAATAAATATAAAAATCAATAAATGAATAAGGAGTTTGATGGTTCCTGCTACTTCCTCATAATATTTGTTGTTGTAATACATGAAATATATGGGATGAGAGTGAATCAGTAAGAGAAATAAAAAACACAATTATATTTGATTCCACATTACTGGGAAACGATTGTGTAAAAGACCTCCTGCTTGATTCTGGGGGTTAAAAGTCCCAATCATTTAATGTGTTCATTTTGTAATCCTGATTTTGTCATTTAAGATACTTCCTAAATTCCCTAGCTTCAAATTATTTGCAAATCTGATAAATGTGTTCTAAAAATGATTAACAGAATAAGCCATTGTCAAAAAGACAGGTGTTTGGCTTTTGAGTAACTCATTCTTTTACTCATTTGTGCATTAATCAACAAACATTTATTTGGCAAACTTTAATATTTCAGGAATAGAATGAACAAAAGAGATATGGCTCTTAACACCAAGAAATTTACAATCTACTGAGAAAAGTAGGTTTTAATCAAGTAACTACATATATAAATGTATAATGACAATCAGGAATAAGAAGAAAAAATAAAGTACTTTTGGATCTTATATAGCAAAGGGAATCAATCAGGAGAAATCTCCCCTGAAGAAGTGACATTGAACCTAAGATCTGAGTAGGAGTTATTTAGTCAAGGGGTAAGGGCAAATCATGAAGATGAAAAAAAATTGGACAATTCCAGGTGGCATATCAAACTGTTCTGAGGTTAGAAAAAAGAGTATGTGTCAGGAAACAAAAAGATCTAGTGCATCTGGAGGGCAGAAAGCAAGGGAGATGCTGGGTGAATCAAGGCAGGAGAAAGAAGTCAAAGCAGCAGTTACACGTACACGTGCAGCAGCAGTTCGTAGAGAGGGCCCGAGGAATGTCCCACAGGGGCTGAGCAGGTATACTGTTTTCATAATAGCACTAAGACGTTAATTGCCTTTTAGAATCTTATTCTCGCACAAGTGTACAGTGGAGATGTCCAGAGGCTGAGTGGTGTTTCATATCACAATAGACTAAATGCAGAAGCAGTTACAAAAATCCAATTGTCAGAAATTTAAAAAAAAGAAGTACAATTATTAAAGTATTTAAATCAACTGATATAGAAATTTTTTAAAAGACTGCCACGGTCTGAATGTGACCCAAAATTCATGTATTGAAATCCTAACCCCCGAGATGATGATATTAGGAGGAGGGGCCTTTGAAAGGTGATTAGGTCATGAATAATTTTAGTGCCCTTATAAAAGAGGCCCAGGAGAGATGCCATGTCTCTTTCACCATGTGAGGATGCAGTAAGAAGGTGCCATCTCTGAACCAAGACGAGAGACCTCACCAGACACTGAATCTGCTGGCGTCTTGATCTTGAACTTTCCAGCCTCCGTAACTAAAGAAATAAATTCTGTTGCTTAGAAGCCAAAAAAAAAGAAAATCCAATTGTCGTCTATTAAACCAAACATAAAAGAGATTTGCAAAAATGTAAAATAATGCCGTTCTCCTCACTAAATTATTTTTATTTTGGAAAATACAGTTGTCTTTAAATATATATTTATATACAAATATGTTGTTATTATTTTAAAATAATTAATAAATATTTTATGATTCTGAGTTTTAATTCTTAATTTGGTAAATATCAATAGATATAACCTACAAGAAAGTCTGCGATGAGATTTAGAAGTTTATTGTAAGAGCAATGGGAATATTTTGAAGCATTTTAGTGATAAAAGCTTGTAAATAATCGTGTTCTGCAAGAATGATGTATGGAGGCCAGATGGGAGGTGATTGCAAGGTAGAAAACGATACTAACTCGAACCTTAATAGTGCTAGGGTGGAAAAAAGTGAATGATGCCAAGAGATATTTAGGAAGGAAAAATCAAAGGACTTCCTGTGTAATTGAAGGGAAAGAAGAAAGTTTCAAGGTTGGCAACCAGATTTCTGGCTTGTGCAATGGAATGGTCAGTAGTATCTGCTATCAAATCAGAAAAACCTAAGTGCAGATTTGAGGAGAAGAATCCTTGAGTTTTATGTTGAGAATGTTGAATTTAAGGTAATTTTTTGATATTAAGGTGGGGATATCAAATAGGTAGTTGAAGCTATGAGTCTGGAACTGAAAAGAGATATCTGGATTTGAGCTATACATACAAATTTGAAAGTCATTAGCATATGCCTTTGAAGTCATTGGCATGTACGGCTATAAAAATAATGAAGAATCTTTTATGCACTTGCATGAAAAGATCCTCAAGATATATTAATAGTAATTTTTTAAATAGCAAGTTAGAAAATAATGTAATTATGCTACCACTTAGATAAGAAAAAAAGAAAATACATATACTTGTATTTGCTGCGTTTGCCTAAAAACTTTTTTGGAAGATTACACAAGAAACTAATGTAAGCAGTTGGCCAAGTGGAGTGGGAGAGACAAATGGAGCCTTTACATTATATGCATTTTCCTGTTGTTTTGACTTTGGAACACTCATTTTTTAAAAGTCAGATAGAGAAGGACGAGCTATCAAAAGAGAATGGAAAAGAGCAGCTGGAGAGGATGCAGAGTGTGCTGTCACTGAAGCCAAGGAAAAGAGTGCGTCAGAAAGAACGGAGCAGTTAACTGTGTCAAATCCAACTGAGAGGTTTAGCGAAATCTGTACTGCGGAAAAAAAAAAAAAATCCACTGCAGGGGGACCATAACATTAGCAAGCAAAACACCAAGAACCCAATAAAAATTGATAAAGGACACAAAGAGTTCACAGTAAAAGAAATACAAATGGCCTAAAGTGTGAAGAAATGCTCAACTCATAACAGAAAACATGTGATTGGAGTTACCGAATTCTGTTTTCACTTATATTGGTAAAGATAAGAAAAACTTATCTACTGTTGCAAGGAATGTAAATTGGTATTACTTTTTTATGTACATAGAGAGATGAGGTCTCACTATGTTGCTCAGGCTGGTCTTGAACTCCTGGATCTAAGCTATCCTGCCACTTCAGCCTCCCAAAATTCTGGGATTACAGGTGTGAGCCTCCATACCTGGCCAGTATTACTTTTTTTAAGAGGCATTTTGACAACATGCATTAAAATAGTGTACCTAGCTTACGACTAAGTAATTTCAATTGCAGAAATTTTCTATATATCAATACAGGTATTTATAAGCATATATACTTGTTATATACATATGTATACATATGTAATATGTGTCATATGCATACATATATAGATGTATGAAAAGATATATGTGCAAGGATGCTTTTGCAGCATTGTCTTAGTAGCAAAAGACTAGAAACAACCAAATGCATATCAATATTGGACTGGTTAAAAATTATGATACATCTAGAGAAAATGTATTTGTGCAGATGCAGAACGATATTTAGGATATAATAGGTAAGAAATTCAAGTGGAGGCTGGGCACGGTGGCTTATGCCTGTAATCCCAGCACTTTGGGAGCCCGAGGCGGGTGGATCACTGGAGGTGAGGAGATCGACACCACTCAGATCATCATGGTGAAACCCTGTCTCTACTAAAAATACAAAAATTAGCCGGGCGTGGTGGCACACGGCTGTAATCCCAGCTACTTGGGAGGCTGAGGCAGGAGAATTGCTTGAACCTAGGAGGCAGAGGTTGCAGTGAGCCGAGATCACGCCATTGCACTCCAGCCTGGGCGACGAAAGCAAAACTCCGTCTCAAAAATAAATAAAGAAATAAATAAGTAAAATTCAAGTGCAGAATAGTGTACATAGGATATATTCATTCTGTTAAACAAATTAATGCATATGCATTTAATATTGCTGAAAGTATACAGAAAATAGGGTCCTAGTGGATGTATCTTGAAAGAGGACCTGAATACTTCGAAGTTTTCCCAGCGGGAAGGAGGCTTAATTTTTGTTCACACTCTTTTGTTCTGTTTGAATTTTATTTTTATCATAGCCACATATTGCCCTGTCTATTAAGGAAAAAAAAAAAAGCTAATTTTAAAAGAACTTTTTAAATTTTAAAATGATCTATGGGCTTTGGGATCACAGTGGCGACCTTAACAAGATTTGTTTAAATGGAGTCATGAGGGAGGAAGGCATGTCGGCATGACTGAAAAGTAAGAGGAACATGAGTAACTAATGATAACAGACACAGAGACGCTAGAAGTTTTACTGTGAACGGAAAAAGAGTGATATAGTAGTAGCTGAAGGCAGAAGCATGGTCAAGAGAAGAAACTGTTTTGTTTGAGTTTTGTTTTCAAGTTAGGAGAATTTGAGAATGTTAAATGTTGATGGGAAGGCTCTTGAGGAGAAGAGAGGAGTCACTCGTGGACTGCATAAGCACCCCAAGAAGGCGGAAGAGGATGGTCTCGCAGGCACGGCCAAGGGCACTTCCTCCACTGGAATGAGAGGTCAGGGCAGGAGGGGGCTGCAGAGATGAGTCATTTGGCACTCGGAAAGTGGGGAGTTGGACAATTTTCTGTCTTACGGCTTCCATCTTTTTTGTGAAATCAGTGATATCTGCTGAATTAAAGAAAGAGTGGAATATGAGAAGACGGGCATCTCAGACACCAAAAGACAGAGATGGCCTGAAACCCTCATTTCAGAGGACGGGAGAGTACCTCGATTAGAGATGAACAGAAGGCTTGCCCAGATGAGGTTGGAATTCGCAGATTTAGAGTGCAACCAACCAATCTGTTCTATGTAATTTTTTTTCCAACAGTATCTAGAAACCTGGTGTAGGCATAAAGAAAGCAGGAGTTGGACTGCGGCCTTGACAAATGAGTACCAGCCAAACATAAATGGCAAAGGAGTTCATATTAAATAGACTCCTCCACCTTCCATCTCTCTTCCACCATCTTCAAGTCCCATCAGTATTCTCTACATGCATTTTTTCACATATTCACAGTTCATAAACCTTTGCATGTTGTTCTGCCTAATTAGTCTTAAGTAAATTAAAGAGAGAGGAAAAATAACTTCAAATGTCAGAGATTGGAATGGGAGGAAAGGGAAAGAACTAAATTGTTGAACACTGCTTACTGTGCTACATATTTATAAACTTGGTCTCATTTACTATGGAGTAGGAAGTGACTATTTCCTGATACTCCTTTCTAACAAATTTTTAATAAAGTCACTATTCTTCCCTTTCTGAAACCATAGAACTAACAGAGAAACTCACCTCTCTGAGATCATATACGGTCAAAGATATGGAAATTATGGACATGATTATGATGGCGAAAGCATATTCCTTATAGTCTTCACTAAACCACAAACAGACACTGAAGAGTTGAAATATATAAAATGGATTTAGAACCTGTTGGCAGACATAAAAACAGGAAAGCAGGCGAGATTTTTAGGCTTCACACTTAGCTCTTTATTTACTTGTTTTCATAATCATCTTCATGACATACATCATCCCACACAATAGTTTTATTATATTTATTCAGCAACTGACAAGTGCCAGACACTGCTCTAAGCAACTTTACTTGAATTTTCTCATTGAATTCCCACAATTACCTTATTAACCAGAAGTTACTTATCTCCATTGTAATGATAAAGAAACTGAACCTTAGATCTTGAGAAATACATCCAAAGTCATGCGACCATGATTGCCACAGACCCAAGACTTAAACCCAGGCAATCTGACCCCAGAGCACTTACTTTTAATCACTGCCGCACTTTACAATTTACAAAGTAGTGTCTCATGTATTGACATGTTGACCATCACAATAGTTATTTAAGGAGTAAATGTTGTCATCTCCTGTTTACATTTACTGGCCTTCAGAAAGGTGAAGTATTAGTTCAGGTTTACAAAGTTAAAATACTTTCTAGTCTCTTCTTCTCTATGACATAACACCTGCCATATTTGAAGTCGTTAAGGAACTTGATTAATGGGTGAGTTGAAGACTGCATGTTCTCGTTAAGTAGAAAGCAGTATAAGCTGCAAAAGAGCATCTAGAACACTGTGCGAGAGAGTAGCTGTTAACTTCAACAGCTGGAATTCAGCTTTGGTCAAAAAACATATTGTGCCTTCACTGAAATTCCCCCTAGTTGGTTTCCTTCTGTCTAAAACAGAAATGGCAATCCTTTCTTCTGGTTAGAGAGGCAGCACACAGAAACATTCCCCTTGGTTTGTTTTACTTTCTTTCATGCTTGACAGCTTGCTGGAAATACTTTAAAAGCACCTTAAGTTTAGTAAGCTTTTCTAAGGCAAGGAGGAGTGGAGAGGGAGCACAGGGAAGCCAGAGTACAGCTAGAGGGCTATGGTTTGATAATAATCATTGTAAAGTGAAAAAATGAGGATCCCAGTGATAGGGTCCAAAAGGGAAATTTCATCTTATACCTTGAGATCTGCAGTACTAATAAGGCTGAATAAATGGGGTTTTTTCTTCCTACATTTTTAGGCACCAAGGAACTTGTATCTGTTACCTAACAAAAGGATTAGCTTAAAAAAAATTGAGTTTCACGAAGTTAAAACAAGCAGCACAGTATTAAAAAAGAAAAGAAACATTACATTCATCCAGCCACTAAATGTTAAGTAAGTACAATGAGTTTCACACCCTGTCTTGCATATGGCAATCTGCAAAAGAACCACTTGAAGAAAAAGAGTAACCAAGAGATATGAGGATAATATGCTTGGCATACTTCCAAAATATATTCTATATTATAGTTACTTATTAACAAGTAGCACTCCTGATTATTTCACTGGAGTCAAACTTCTTTATTTTCTATCCAACACCAAGAGAAAATGCTGGAGAAATTACCTCCTTGATGAGCAGTTTCCAAATTGGTGTAACTTCAACATCGATAGTATTAGGCCCACATATTAACCTCCTATAGAAAGAAATCACATATCACTCCATCACAAATAATAAAATTAAAACTCACTCCTCACCTATTCAGAAAAAAGTCTATTCCATGTTCAATTTCTCACTTGTGGGACCAACATAAGCCTCCCTTGTTATATACTATTCCCATCCTTCTCAAAATAATGGGAGGTGAGGGTTCCCAGTTGCAAAAACGATAAATATGACCATATTGCTTCTAGAACTCTATTCTTCCCAAGGTCTAAATATTTTTCTAAATGGTATTTTGGGTATTTAATATTAAATATTGTCTCATTCAAGTAGTTTCAGGATTGGCATGTTCCCAACTCTGTCTCTCCTCAATTCCGGTTTTATTACTATAAGACCATGAGACAGTTAAGAGAAAATACCTTTATTGATAAGGAAATGCTGTTTCTACTTTCCTAGCCCTATTTAGTAGTTCTGGAAAACTTCAGAACATATTTTAATGTAGGTGGAAAGTTCTGTGATCTCAAAAATAACTACATGCATAACTATTCGGCTTTTTGATTCAGTGTCTCTAAAACTCAGAGATGTGTTTCTTTGATTACTCAGAGGAAAGACATTGTACGAGTTACGTTACTGTTGAAAACACTAACCGCTTTCTCTGTGTCTTCCACCTCGATGCTCAGATTAAATAGCTTGGTCAAATGTATGAGAGCAGTGTTTCTCAAACTTTAACATTTATATAGCTCACTTGGTGATATTGTTAAAATGAAGATTCTGATTCAACGGGATGAAAAGTGGTCTGAGATCATGCATTTCTAACAAGCTCCCAGCTGATGCAGATTCTGCTAGGCTCTACATCTCTTCAAAGTACTAGAAATGGGGAAGGGCGAAGCATATGAATCACAGAAACTTAGAACAGCAAGGCCTTTAAAGAGTCCTTCTCCCCCTGTCTACGATTGGGTCCAGGGAGGAAAAGATATTTGTTCAAAGCCCACAGACTCTTGACATACCAGTGCCCTCCCTAAATCTCTCTCCTCTGCCTAATAATTCATTTGGAATTGTGGAGCTACACATCTTGCATGGTGTTCTACTGCTGCTCCATGGTTATTATTTAACTGCATTATCATGATCTAAGATGTATTTCTTGATTATAACCTAAACTGGCTCAACTTTATATTATAATAACCTGGAGAAACATTGTATGGAGTAGAAAGAGCACTACATCTGCAGCCAGGAGTGTGGGCCTCGAATTAGTTCTTCCGCTACTAACTCCCATCTGTGTGACCTCGTTCTGGCCATGAAACCTTTCTGAGTCTCAGATTTCTCGTTTGTTGTATGGAAGTGGTGATAATGTCTGTTCTACCTGCCCCATAAGGTTGCTCTGAAGATGAAGTAATATAATGTATGTGAAAGATTTAATTTAATAATACTAAATAGAGCTTTACAATATTTTCTGATATTAATCCATTAAGATAACTATTTACTGAGCTGTCTATTTGGCTAACTGATAATAATCCTTTTGAGCTAGTATAGGCAATAACATGCATGGTACCTAATCTCTTGTTCTTCTCTTGTCAAGCCTGATCCAAATTTTTGATGTATCTTGGCAGAACTGAGCCAGTCTTCCAAAGAGCTAAAATAATAATAATGAAAAGAACATATTTAGCAATAATATTTTTGAGATAACATTTTTCTTCTTTGGCTGTACTGGCTAAAACAACTTACCCAATTTTCTGGAACTGTCCTTCTAAGTAGTTCCAAACATATCTTATTTTCTGCACTTTTATGCATCTCACCTGCAAAAGAAAAGTACTAAGAAAACCTCTAGTTTGAGGATCAGAGAATAAACAGCAACCAGTGGCTAAAGAAGCATTTGTTTAAAAAGCAAAGATAAAACTTTAACATACTTATTTAAGATTTTATCCTTTTCTAACTTATCCTTTGCTTTTCTACTATACAAATGGTACTCTTTATTAGAAGTCATCATTTAATCAACATGTATCATGGACCTACTATATAGAAAAAAATATATGAATAAAACTTAGTCTCTGCATTCTACTACTTTATAAACTAAGAAGGAAAAATTTCCAAAAAAAAGACATAGCGTCCAATATATACATGTTAAAAAAATTAAAACATAATAAAATAAAAAATACGTTTTTGAAATGCTATAGACATAAAGAGAGAGAAGATGAAGGAAGGCAATATGATGGAGATGATGTATGAGTTACAGTGTTGAAGGATTAGAAGACTTTTACTCAGATGAGAAAATAGAAAGTATTTTAAAGAGATTGCTCACAAGTTAGTTTGGGGGAAGAAGGCCAGTGAGCACGCCTATTTGTAGAATGAAGAACGAAGCTAGAAAGACAAACTGAAACCAAAGTATTGATACCAGAGTTGAGAAGAAATTACTTAGACAGATAATGAGGTTACAGAAGTCCTCAGTGAAGTTTTCTTTTTAATGAAAAGCAGTGCCCAATCATTTTTCTTTCTAACATAAAAAGACCCAACTATATGCAACCTATGAAGAATCATTTAACTAGTAATAACATACATAGGATGAAAATGAAAGAATGGAAGAAGACATTCCATGAAAATGGAAACCAGAAGAGATTAGAAATAGTTATACTTATGTCAGATAAGATACACTTTAAATTAAAACTATAAAAAGAGACGAAGAAGATCATTGCATAATGACAAAGGAGTCAATTCAGTAAGGGATTAACGCTCATATGTATGCACCTAACATGGGAGCACCTAAATATGTAAAGCAAATATTAATAAAACCAAAGGGAGAAATTGACTGCAACACAATGATAGTAGAGAATTTCAACACCTCACTCACAGCAAAGAACAGATCATCCAGACAGAAAATTAACAAAGAAATATCAAATCTAAACTACACTGTAGACCAAATGGACCTAACAGACACTTACAGAACATTCCATTCAACAGTTGCAGAATATACATTCTTCTCAACTGCTCATGGAACAGTATCCAGAATAGATTATACATTGGGTCACCAACAAGTCTTAACAAATTTTAAAAACTGAAATCATATCAAGTATTTTTTTCTGACTACAATAGTATAAAAGTAGAAATCAATAAAAGCAAGAAAAACTTCAGAAACTTTGCAAATACATACAAATTAAACAACATGCTCTTGAACAACCTTTGGTCAACAAGGAAATTAAAAGAGAAATTTCAAAATTTCTTGAGACAAATGAAAATGAAAACACAGCTTATCAAAAACCTATGGGATACAGAAAAAGCTGTTCTAAGAGGAATGTATATAGCAACAAATACCTCTATACAAAAAAGAATGATCTCAAATAGACAATCTAACATTGCACCTCAGGGAAAAATGAGAACAAACTAAATCCAAAATTAATAGAAAGAAGGAAATAATAAAGATCAGAACAGAGGTAAATAAAACGAGAAAACAAAAGGTCAAAAAACCCAAAGAGCTGGATTTTTTAAAAGATAAAATTAACAAACATTTAGTCAGACTAAAGAAAAAAAGGGAAGACTCAAATAAAATCAGAAATGAAAAAAGAGACATTACAAATGATAACAAAGGAATACAAAAAACCCAGGAGATTATTATAAACAATTATATACCAACAAGTTTGATAAATCTAGAAGAAATGGAAAAATTCCTGGACACATGTAAGCTATCAAGATTGAATCATGAAAAAAATAGAAAATGTGAACAGATGAATTAGCAGAGATTGAATCAGTGATAAAAAGTCTTGCATCAAAGAAAAGCTCAGTACCTGATGGCTTCACTGCTGAATTCTACTAAACATTCAAAGAACACCAATTCTACTCAAACTATTGCAAAAAATTGAAGAGGGGAAAATATTTCCAAATTCATCTATGCTTCACCCTGATAACAAAACTAGAGAAGAGCACAACAAAAAAGAAAACCATATGTCAATATTCCTGACAAACCTAGAAGCAAACGTTGTCAACAAAATAAAAGTTAACAGCATATTTAAAAGATCATTTACCATGATCATGTGGAATTCATCCCGGGATACAAGGATGATTCAACATATACAAATGAATAAACATAAAATATCACATTAACAGAATGAAACACAAACACCATATGATCATTTGAACAAATACAGAAAAGCATCTGACAAAATTCAACATCCTTTCATGATAAAAACTCAACAAAACAGATATAGAAGGAATGCATCTCAACACAAGAAAAGCCATGCAAATCAACAGCTAATATTATACAAAACTAGAAAATATTGTAAGTTTTTCCTGTAAGATCTAGAACAAGACAAGAATGCCTGTTTTCATCACTTTTATTCAACATATTACAGGAAGTCCTAGCCAGAGCAATTAGGCAAGAGAAAGAAGTAAAAGACATCAAAATTGGAAAAGAACTTAAGTTGCCCCTTTTTGCAGATGACATGATATCATATAAAGAACATCCTAAAGACTCCACACACAAAAAAAACTAATAAACAAATTCAGTAGAGTTACAGAATACAAAATCAATGTGTATAAAAATCAGCAGCATTTCTATAACTAATAGCAAACTATCTGAAAAAGAAATCAAGAAACTATCCCATTGGCAACGGCTACAAAAAAATAGTAAAATACGTAGGAATAAATTTAACCAAGGTCTTGAAAAATCTCTATACTGAAATCTACAAAACATTATTGCAAGAAATTGAAGAAGACAAAAATAATTGAAAAGATATTCCATTCTCATGGATTGAAAGAACTAATCTTGTTAAAAATGCCCATACTGTCAAAAGCAATATACAGATTCAATTAAATTCCTATCAAAATACCAGTGATATTCTTCACAGGAATAGAAAAAACAATCCTAAAATTGGTATGAAACCACAAAAGACCCTGGATACCCAAAGCAAACAGAGCAAAAAGAGCAAAGCTAAAGGCATCACACCATCTGACTTCAAATTTCACTACAAAGCGATAGTAACTAAAACAGCACGGTGCTGGCAGAGAAATAGACATATAGACCAATGGGACCGCAGAGAGAAAACAAATGAATTCACACACTTGCAGCCAACTAGTTTTCAACAAAGGCGCCAAGAACACACAACGAATAAAGGATGGTCTCCTTAATAAATAATGCTGAGATAGGCCAGGCATGGTGGCTCATGCCTGTAATCCCAGTACTTTGGGAGGCTGAGATAGGTGGATCACTTGAGGTCAGGAATTTGAGACCAACCTGGCGAACATGGCAAAACCCCATCTCTACTAAAAGTACAAAAGTTAGCTGGGCATGGTGGTGCGTGCCTGTAATCCCAGCTACTCAGGAGGCTGAGGCAGGAGAATCGCTTGGACCTGGGAGGCTGAGGTTGCAGTGAGCCGAGACCCTGCCACTGTACTCCAGCCTGAGAGACAGGGCAAGACTCTGTCTCTCTCTCTCTCTCTCTCTCTCTCTCTCTCTCTCTTTCTCTCTCTCTCTCTCTCACTCTCTCTCTCTCTCTCTCTCGATATATATATATATAAATCAAACTGAGAAACCTGGCAATCCACATGCAGAAGAATGAAGCTAGACCCCTATATCTTACCATACACAAAACTCAACTTGAAATAGATTAAAGACTTAAATGTAAGACGGGAAATGATAAAACTACTAAAAGAAAAATATAAGGTCTGACATGGCATTGATCTGGGCAAGGATTTTTTGGATAAGACTCCAAAAGTGCAAGCTACCCCAAAACAAAAATAAACAATTGAAATTACATCAAGCCAAAAGCTTCTATACAGCAAAGGAAATAACTAACCAAGTGAAAAGACAACCTACAGAATGGAAGAAAATATTTGCAAACTGTGTATCTGACAAGGGGTTAATATCCAGAATATACAAGGAACTCAAAAAACTCAGTAGCAACAAAACAACTATTTGATAGAAAATGGGCAAAAGACCGAAACAGACATTTTTCAAAAGAAGACATATAAATGGCTCACAGATAAATGAAAACATGCTTAATATCACTGGTCATCAGGGAAATGAACGTGAAAACCACAGTGAGCTATCACCTCACTCCAGTTAAAATGCTATTATCAAAAAGACAAAAAAAAAATGACAAATGCTAGCGAGGATATAAAGAGAAGAAACTCTTGTACACTGTTAGTGGGAATATAAATTAGTACAGTCATTATGAAAAACAGTATACAGGCTCCTTATAAAATTAAAAATAAACCATCATATGATCCCTTAATCCCAACAGTAGGTATATATCTAAAGGAAAAGAAATCAGTATGTCAGACAAGTATCTGCACTCTCATGTTTATTGCAGTAATATTCACAATAGCCAAGATATGGAATTAACCTAAGGGTCTATCAATGGATGAATGGATAAAGAAACTGTACATACACATTTTCTTTGTGGAATGTTATTTGGCCTTAAAAAGAAGGAGATTCTGTCAGTTTTGACAACATGGATGAACCCTGAAGAGATGTTAAATGAAATAAGCAAGACACAATAAGGCAAATACTGCAGGATCTGACTCATTTGTGAAATCTAAAACAGCTGATGTCGTACAAGTAGAGAGCAGAATATTGGGTATCAGAGGCTGGGGGGAACAGCATAGACAATGGGATGGAGGAAGGTTGGTCAACAGTACAAAGTTACAGTTAGATAGAAGGAATAAATTTTGTTGTTCTTTTGCAGAGCAGGGTGACTATGTTTAGTAATATTGTACTGTATATTCCAAAATAGATAGAAGACAGGATTTTGAATATTATCACCACAAAGAAGTGATAAACCTATGAGGTGACAGATATGCAAATATCCTAATTTGATTTATACATAATGTATACATGTATCAAAACATCACACTGTACCCCATAAATATGTACTATTACTCTGTGTCAATTAAAAACAAAATTTTAAAAATCCTGGTAGCCACATTAAACCAGTAAAAAAAAAAAAAAAGAAAAAAAAAAGAGTGAAAGTGAAAGATACTGAAAAAGATTAGGATGGCAGCAAATACTAAAGAACAAAGAGGAGGTTATTACAAAAAAAAAAAAATAAGGAAGTGAGGGTCTGAGACTGTTGGCAGTGGGAGAAAAGGGAAGGGTTGATGCTTATGACAATTGTGTGTTCTTGCTTCTGATCCTTTAAGCAAGTTCATATGTGAATGTGAATTTCCATGAACTGGTGACCTAACTAAACACAAAGAGAAACAGTGAGACTGACGTATTGTCACAGAGCAATGGTTATTATACTCTCAGGTCGCTCACTGGAATCATCTGGGGAGCTTTGAAAAAGGCTGCTATTGGGCCGGGCGCGGTGGCTCAAGCCTGTAATCCCAGCACTTTGGGAGGCCGAGACGGGCGGATCACGAGGTCAGGAAATCGAGACCATCCTGGCTAACATGGTGAAACCCCGTCTCTACTAAAAATACAAAAAACTAGCCGGGCGAGGTGGCGGCGCCTGTAGTCCCAGCTACTCGGGTGGCTGAGGCAGGAGAATGGCGTGAACCCAGGAGGCGGAGCTTGCAGTGAGCCGAGATCGCGCCACTGCACTCCAGCCTGGGCGACCCAGCAAGACTCCGTCTCAAAAGAAAAAAAAAAAGAAAGAAAGAAAAAGACTGCTGTCTCGGCCCCACCCTCAAGGATTCTGTTTTGTCTGCAGTGCATTCTGGGCATAAATATTTTTAATTTTCCTCAGGTAATTTTAATGTGCAGCCAAAGTTGAGGAACAGTATCTAGAGCTTCCTTTTGTAGTTACTCTGCTAAACCGCTATTTGAGAACTTCAACTAAATTTTTCTGCCCTTCAGTTTCCCCATGAATACATTTAGGCAATTGGACAGATTATGTCTATATTCTACCTCAGTTTCTCTCTAGATATTCTATGCTCAAGAATATTATCGTCATTATAACCATTAGATATATTTTAAAACTGGAAGGACCATATAGCTGGCACAAAATAAGTGCTCAATACATTTTTTATTAAATAAATGAGTGAAAGCTTTGCAAAACCACATCAACCAGAAATGCAGTTTAAATCCCTTAGCTCCAACGTCTAGGTTACCAAAAATGAATGTTAACTCTATGCCATAGGTGTATGTGCATGTACACATGTGCACGTGCACGCACGTGCGCGCACACACACACACACACAGGCATTCAAACTTACCAAATAGCATGTAAAATGCTGTATTTTTTTTTCTATTTTACAGAATGGATTTATTTCAGCAAGGTTGGTTGCAACATACTGCATTTAAAAAGTATATCTTATTTCCAATTTAGAGTGAATTGCCAGTAGGAATGACACACAATCTCTAATTTGCAGATTTCACAATCTGCAAAGGAAATATTTGTAAATGACAGGCTCTAGGGCGTGTTAGCCATCATGACACATGTTGGAATCCCAAGCGTCTTGCCTCACAATTTGCTTTTCTCTTCAGTATTCTTTGCAATTTTGCAAATACAGCAGGATTGTAATCACAGCTACTATTCTGGGGGCATGTTAGGACTTTTCACATGTTACGTTTAGTCTTTTCAATCATCCTGTGCTACGGCAGATATTATTTTCCTCTTCACTTTGCACCTGAAGTTCATTTTGCTGAAGTAACTTGCCAGGAATTCGAACTCTAGCCCATCTGGCTCCAAAGTTCAGTCTCTCAAAGGATATCATATTCAAGCTAGTCCCAAAGGAAAAACTGAAAATCCATTGACTTCAGGATTAAAGCTTTATAAAGTGATGGCTGCCTACTTATTAATTACATAAATGCAAAAATCTGTGTTAGAAAAATTTTAAAGGACAAATTGTGGTTCCAATGTGAGGCCCCTGATCAGTTTGAGAACCTCTTATCAAGAGGCAGAAACCACACACTGAGGTTGAAAAATGTATAAAACATAATAGACATGAAACATCTGTAGATGAAGGCAGCAATAATGAGAAATAAAGAGGCTACTGGTAAGTTTTACCTCGGGCCAAAGGATAGAAAATTCCATTATCTTCCGACAGTTTCTTAAGCCATTGCTCACAGAATGAGAAGAATGGCTCCATCCTAGACCTTTTGAGCACATTTGCGATTCCCCCAGGAGAAACCGTCTCTGCCGGGAGTTTATCTGCTTCCCTATCACTCTCAGAGTCTCTGGAAGCTGGTAAGAGGATGTTAAATAAGCACAATATTTGCAAGAGATGAGGCTGATTTGCCCATTTCCTGGAAATTCAGACCAGGAAACAGCAATTACGAAACCAAATCTCTGCTGCGGGGTGAATTTCATCTTTCTGCTCAGGCATCAGGAAGATTTCCTCTCCCCGGGCTTTCTGCTTGTGGTTTCTTGTTAGAACATGTTATAAGAGCAACTTGTTTAACAGGTTAAGCACTGGGTGTTAGCTTTGCCTGCAACCCTGCCAGATGGTCCTTAGCTTCTCCTCTTAGCCTATGTTTCCAAACCTGACATAGTTCTTTGCTGTAATCTTCAGACTTCCTTTAAACCAGTGATCTCCAACCTTTTTGGCACCAGGGACCGGTTTTGTGGAAGACAACTTTTTCGCGAATGTTGGGGATGGGGTGATGGTTTCAGATCATCAGGCAATCGTTAGATTCTCATAAGGAGCACTGTAACCTAAATCCCTCACATGAGCAGTTCACAATATTAAGGATTTCACTCCTATGAGAATCTCATGCTGCTGCTGACCTGACAGGAGGCAGAACTCAGACGGTAATGCTCGCCAGCTTGCCGGCAGCTCACCTCCTGCTGTGCGGCCTGGTTCCTAACAGTCCATGGACAGGGCACCGATCGGTGGCCTAGGGGTTGGGGACCCCTCCTTTAAATGCCCCTAAATGTTACCCTCTTGGTAATGCTGTTATTGTCATCAAGGCTGAGCCCGTGACAGCTCCTCTGACTTTAATGAAAGTTTTGTTACTAGCATAGTTCATTGAAGTTCACAAATGACCTTAATACCCATCGTCTCATTGTATGTTCATAACAGCCCTGAGAAAGGCAAAGGGAGGGTATTACTTTTATTTTATAAATAAGAAACTCAAGACCAGAGAGGCAGTAACTAACCAAACTGCCTATGCCATAGCTGGTAAATGAAGGCAGTACACCTATCACAACTTTCCATTTCAAGACCCCTGCCCCTCCTGCAATTCTGTGTGTTGACTTGGCCATTTCTTCATTTATCTGTTCACTTATTTATTTGATGCTACTAAAGATGCTAGAATTTCAGAGCAATGGAACTATGAAGACATAGGCTATCTGGGAAGCTTACTTCTCCAGGTGAATGGACATCTAACAGATTAGGGCAACTATTATTTGGAGGTACCTGACTTCCTTTGTTTTTGTTTATTTGGGCAGTTAAGACAATTGGGCAGGTGGAGCACCGTAGCTCACCCCTGTAATCCCAGCACTTTGGGAGGCTGAGGTTGGTTGATCACCTGAGGTCCGGAGTTCAAGACCAGCCTGGTCAACATGGTGAAACTCCGTCTCTACTAAAAACACAAAAATTAGCTGGGTATGGTGGCAGGTGTCTGTAATTCCAGCTACTTGGGAGGCTGAGGCAGGAGAATTGCTTGAACCCGGGAGGTAGAGGTTACAGTGAGCCACAACAGCGCCATTGCACTCCAGCCTGGGCAACAAGAATGAAACTCCATTTCAAAAAAAAAAGACAACTGGGTGATAACAATTGACAATAGGAAAATTGCTCATAATTTACTTTTATTATTTTAAATAACTGACCTTGAGCTCATAAAACTAAACAGCTAACTACCCATACATAAATGTAAGAGAAAACATTCTGTCTTACAAAATGTTTTTAATATGAATGTTAACTAGTCATACTCCAAGCAGAACTAATTTAATAGGGTGAAGAGGGAGCAACCCAGATACATTTGAATGACAAGAATTCAAATAAGGTCATATTTGCAGGCATAAGCAAACCTCCTGGGATATCCCTGGGTGATTACCTTTAATATAAGATTAACCCATTTACATAGATTGTAATATAGGGCACAACACTATTAAAAGCTAATATGTAAGAACTGGGCTGGGCAGTACATGCCTGTAATCCCAGCTATTAGGGAGGCTGAGGCAGGAGGATCACTTGAGCCCAGGAGTTTGAGGCTGCAGTGTATTATAATCATGTGCCTGTGAATAGCCACTGCAACCTAGTGAGATCCTACCTCTAAGAAAGGAAAAGAAAACAGAACAAGTATGTATTGAGCATCTGCTATATACCTGGAACTACTTTAATCTTTGTATTTCTAAATTTATTAAATTTTATCAATTAATATTAGAAATAGACATTATTATCATCATCTTGTAGATGAGAAAACAGGCTCAGCAGAGTTAAGATCAATGGTTGCACTATTTAGAAGGATGAAGCTGAGATTTGAAGTGTCTGGCTCCAAAGTTCACGTTTTAAACAAACACTATCAAATGAGGATTGGCACCATGGAGGAGCTGCATTTAACTTTACACTTGAGGGGAAAAGGGTGAAATCTCTCTGGCATCAGCAGTAGCCATCCGTTGACTTACCTTTAGGTCTGGCTTTCTTATGGCTCTGTTTATGATATCCTCCTCATCTGTAATGACAGGGTGGTCAGGAGTGAGACCAAATGCGCTGTTTAATGCTGACAGGTAGATCCATATTACCTTTTTCCAAGAGTAAATTTGGAATTCATCCTGAGGAGATAGACATCAAAAGCCCCATGAAGTTAAGAGAGGTCAGCAGGCTAAAATTCAACCTGAAAAACATCCTTTTAATATAATTCTGTAAGTGTTCGGAGTTCGTGAACATTCTAGACAGAATGGTTTGTCTCTGAAAGATGATGGATATAGAACCTTGAGGGAAAATGACCTGTCATCACTGATTGAGGAATCTGGATATGAAGATGAGGCACTGACGCGTAACAAAGCTTGAGGGTCAGGAGGCTCATTCGCAGGTAAGAACTAGTTCACTGCATCACCTTTCAGCCCATGGCCTGATGACCATCCCCATCTTTCCAGGCTTAACTCAAATTCCACCTCCTACAGAACAGCCTCATTAACACCCTTCCACCAGGGGGGAAAAAAAACAAAACCTGTCACTTCGTTAACTCCAAAAAAATGTTAAGTGTCCCTCTCTTGCGGTCTTAATCACTTTTTGCCTGTGTTCTCTTAGTTCTTCTAGACTACCTGGAAGGTAGGGACCATGTTTTATTGTTCCTTATCCCCATTCATGTGGAGCACTGAGACCTGCTCAGTAAGAGTCCGAAGAATGGATGAAAAAGACTGAATCTATGTACTGAACCTGCCCAAGGTAATTGTCAAGATGTTAGCACAGGTGGGGTTGAAGAAGGCACCTTATTGCATGACCCTAATTAAAACTGCTTCCCTTTGCAGTTCACTGATTACTTCATCACAGAGTAAAATTAGAGGGAGAAGCACAGGATTGAGAAACAGACACCACAATGGTCCCTTAGAGACTGATTTGACAGTGGTTATTATCTGAACGGGTAAATACTAGACATAAAACCCACTCAGATGACTGATAAACCTCAGGATTTAAGAAGTATAAAAGAAAAAGTCAAATGTGGGAACAATGTGATGCTTGGGAAATGTAGGTCAGAGCTGGAAATTGTCTCCACCACCACACCCACTTTTGCTATGAAGAGTGCCCTAGCTGACTCTGCAAAAGGCAGGGAGGGGAAGATACAATCATTGTAGCTAATCTCTTATATTGGTCCCCCTAAGAGGAGACCATCTGGATGCCTTTGCTCCTGCTGCCTCCTTGCCTGTAGTACATATTCTTCTCTCTTCTCCTTAAGTCTTTACATGGCTGGATTCTACCATCCTTCAGGGTCCAGGTCAGAGTTCATGTCCTGAGAACCTCCCTAATTTCTCTGGGTGATCTCTCCTCTAAGTCATCAGTGTTCTTGAGATTCCCAACACATTTTACCCTTTGCCTATCCACCTTACCACTTCTCTTGGACTGTGGGTGGGAATTGTGTATGACACATGTCTGTACTTCAGCCAGGCTTTGCACAGATTCTGTGTGCGTGTGTGTGTGTGTGTGTGTGTGTGTGTGTGTGAAAAAGAAAGAGAGAGAGAGACAGAGAGAGAGAGAGAGAGAGACGAAGAAGGGAAGGAAGCCAACAAAACCTTAATAGAAATTGGAATGTTAATTAATTAATCAATTTTAAAAGCCAGTGAAATTGGTTGTTATCCTATGGATTTAAAAAAAAAAAAGGTGACTAAGTCAATTCAAATCAAATTGTATGGAGTTAAGAATGATGAACCTAAGAATGGTGGAAGGGAGCTAAATTTTCAATGACTAAGCCAGTGATCTGATAGACATGGTCTAGGTCTGGTAGAGTAGGCAACCAACTCTCTTGAACAAACCTTGACACAGTTCAGCATTATATAGCTTTGCTTTTGATTTCATCAAAGCAGTTTTTAAATAAGAACTTCCCATTTCTAATAATAGTTAATATTTATTTTACAGTTACTGTGTTCTAAGCACATAATGCCACATACGTATTATTTCATTTAATGTCAAAACCCCTATGGAATTGTTGCAGTTAATTATTCTCCCATTTAGTTGGCATGGAAAGAAAGACATACTTGGTAACTATTAGAGCAGGGACTTAACAGTCACATCCCCTCTCTTGCTTGCCTCCTCGAGTCCCCTCCAACCTTCCACTTTATTCTACAGTTTTGCTAAAAAATATAATTTGATTGGACTGCCATTTTTATGTCAAGCCTGAACTGGGACTTCTAAAGAACATAGTTTCAATGACAAATTTGGTAAGAAAATGTATAATTTGTAGGTAAACAGGAACACAAATCATAAAAGAGCCATCAAGATCAGAGACCTCTGGCCACCAAGTGAGGACAATTAGGAAGACAGCAACTATTAATCATCTCCAGTGAATTAAAATAATATTAACAACTAATTTTCATATGATTATATAGCAGTTTATAGAAATTTTGTTATGTTATTTTAGGCTTTCAATTCTCTAATGTTGGTATTATAATTATCTCCATTTTGCAGATGAGAAAACTGATCATCAGCAAGGCTAAGAATTACTCAAGCCAGTCTGAAATTGGTAGTAGGAATAAAACTGAGACTTGAGTCCAGATCTTTCCATTCCAAATCTTGGCCCCTTCTCTTTATTTCAGCAAGTTGTCCCATGGTGTCTATAGCTGGCATGTAAAAATCACCTTGAATTCCGCACCAAGTGACAAATAGTATCCAGTTTCTCACAATGTGCTCTCCTGACAGCATAGAACCTAATTCCTGAAGTCAAGCTGTCCCCCTCTGGCCCTGTGTGACAACAGACAGACCTCCAGACGGTAGTGCCTAAAAGGGGAAAAGCAAAGTGTTCAAGTTCTCAAAGGCCATATTAACCCAGTGCACCAACTGTATGCCTTAGTCTAGGTGTGTATTAAAAACTGACATTCACCTATATACCTATATCTTCTTATAGTTCATAATATTACCAAATCAAAGGTGCTTGGATATATTTGCCTTTAAGCTCATTTCCTGTCATCCTCATTTACTCCTAACCCCAATAACTCATAATTCTGTATGATACAAAGTAGAATTATATAGAAAAAATAAAAGATAGGGCAGCTAGATGACCCTTTTGCTTAGAGTAGGGGAGTGACACTGACTTCTTTCTTATATATTACCCTGTTGAGGACTCTGTCAAATCACCCAGCTTTTTAAGGGGAAAAAAGCAAAGAAATGGAAGGAAAGTACACCAATGTGAAGTGGTCACTTCAAGCAAAATCATTGGCTTCTCTTTTTTCATTCTGGGATTGTTGAATATGGAAAGAGCACAGGCTTGAGGCCTGAACTCAAATCCCAGCTCTAAACTGTCTTACAGCTGTCTGAAGCTAATTTTCTTTATTTAGAAAATGGAGATAATACCAAATTTCATGGATGTTTGAAGGATTAAATGAAATAATACATAATGTGTCTGATCCAAGGTTTGGCCCATAGCAGGGAGGCAATAGATGGTATGGTTCTGTGCCTCATTTTTCATAGCATGTTGTTTCTGAGATCTTTCTGTAAGTAGGAACTTACTCTCCCTTTGAGGAAACTCTAAAAGTCTCTCAATTTTTCCTTTGTGGAAAAGCAGCATCTTTACCTGGAAATGGCTTTTTCTACTTTAGTCTGTTTCCCAGCTCTCTTTAAAGCAGATAATGATTTGTAAAATACCTAAATGTACCAGAGGAGCTACCATTTTAAATAATTGGTTTATAATGCAAATAATCCAAAGTGCTTGCCTGGCAAATCTGGACTTTTTGCAAACCTCAGGTCTCATTGAGAAGGCTTTACCTCCTCTTTATCAAAAATATTAACCAGATCAGTCCTTGAACTCTAAAAAAAATAGGTTTTACAAGAATTCCAGAGTGCATTTCAAAAGTCAAATGCACAAAAAGGACCAGTGTTTGACCTGGACTGAAAAACAGAGGAAGAAACCTGGACATTTTTTATTTCCTATGGCTTTGTACTTTCTGACCCTGGAAATGCCAGATAAACTTTTAGATTTGAATGAAGCAAGTTATCTCGTGATATGGTTTGGCTGTGTCCCCATCCAAATCTCATCTTGAATTATATTTCCCATAATCCCCACATGTCATGAGAGGGACCCAGTGGGAGGTAATTTAATCATGGGGTCAGTTACACTCATGCTGTTCTCATGATAGTGAGTGAGTTATCGCAGGATCTGATGGTTTTATAAAGGGCTTTCCTCTTTTTGCTTGGCATTTCTCCTTGCTGCCGGCATGTGAAGAAGGATGTGTTTGCTTCCCCTTCCACCATGACTGCAAGTTTCCTGAGGCCTCCCCAGCCATGCTGACCTGTGAGTCAAACCTCGTTCTTTTATAAATTACCCAGTCTCGGGTATGTCTTTATTAGCAGCGTGAGAACAGACTAACACATCTTGCTTACCTAATTCTATCCTTTTACCATAAGAACCTCATCCCTTGAAATTTAAAAGCAATATAATGGTCACTTCAAGTTCAGGCCAATGCTGTGACTTCTCTTGTGTAGTTCACTACACAAAAAAATATAGTTCTGAGCTTGCCTTAAGAAGAACCCATTTCAAAATTCCAATGAGACATTAGAAAATGAGTAATTTTCTCCTGGAGATGGATACATTGCAATGCTAAAACGCTAAACTCTAGCTAAGGTGAAATACCTAGAGGATTAAGGATAATGTAATAATAAATTTCTCAGGCTATTCTAAAACACTGCACTGCCTTTATAGGCCCATAACTTTGGTATAATTCTTTCATTTTTATATCTTTCATTTTTTTTCTTTCTCTTTCCCTCTCTCGGCCAGACTCGCTGATGCTCTTAACATCCTGACCTCATATTCCCAATGTTTTTTAGCTTGGAAAAAAGATGACATTGGCTAGAATATAGGATTTAGTTATAAGATACATAAAGTTCTAAGTTTTGGAGAAATTCTCACAATAATTATTATCTTAGTATATGTTGTCCAAAAAAAAAGAGGAGGGAGGGACAACACAATGAGGTTATTAACAAAGCAAAGCCTATGTTTATGTTTGTATACAAAACAAGGAAATCTAGAAAACTCAGTATACATTTTTTGGAGAGACCAGGATTTGGGGCTTGCTCATTTTTGTAGTTGTTTTCTGAGGGGAAATGGAGCAGTGGATTAGCCGGT